AATTTTTGGCAATGTCGACTTGACGTTGATCATCTTTGTATAACTCAATGATCTTAGTTTTCGCATCGAAATAAATTTCTGGACCACGCGGCATATTCATATTTGTCTATATATTTATGTCCATTACTGTAGATTCTTTCTCAGCTGTGGGCTTACCCTCGATGACAATATCAACGTTGCTTTTGTAATTCAACTTAGTAACAAACTTCAGTGAACAGCAACTCCATTACGTATTTTACGGGTACTGTTCACACATACAGGGTTTGTCCAGAAAGTAATAGGACTGAGTCGATTTACAAAAATTTATTGAGCCAATCGTTACAACTCTTTAAAAACTTTCAAAATAGGCTCCTTCTGCGTCGATGCAGCGCTGCCAGCGCGATTTCCAAGCATTGAAGGCGTCACGGAAGGCATTATCAGGAATAGCCTTGAGAGCCGCGGTGCATGCTGCTTGGATACCCTCTGTCGTCTCAAAATGCTTACCTTTCATAGGCCTTTTCAGGCGAGGAAACAAAAAAAGTCCGGGGGGCACATCTGGGCTGTAGGGCGGGCGGCTATGGAAGCGTTGGGATGCCGGCCTTGGTCAGGTAGCTGTTCACAAGAAATGCGGTGTGAGCCGGGGCGTTGTCGTGGTGCAACTTCCAGACGGCTGCGATGTCTCGTCGGACCCGACTGACCCTTCGTTTGAGTCTCCTGAGCACTTCCACGTAAAACTGGGCGTTGACGGTTTGGAGGAACAAATTCATGGTGGACGATGCTTTTGATGTCAAAAAAGACAATGAGCATCGTTTTCACTTTGGATTTGCTCTTCTTCCCTTTTTTGGGCGAGGAGACGCCGTCGTGTGCCACTCGGAAGATTGCCTCTTTGTCTCGGGATCATACTCAAAGATCCACGACTCGTCACCTGTGATTACGTTATTCAAAAATTGGGGGTCACTTTCACACATGTTCAAATTTGCTTGGCACACTTCCACTCGCCGCAATTTCTGGTCGTCAGTGGGACCATCTTCGCGCACACCTTGCGCTTGTTCAAATGCTGTGTCACAATGTCATGAACCACAGATTTTGGTAAATTTAACATCTGGGCAATTAAACGAATACTTAGTCGACGGTCTGAGTTTAAAACTTTCCGCACACGAGTCACATTATCGGTTTTTGTCGAAGTCGAAGGTCTTCTGGTGCCACCAAAATACACCACTTCTTACTAAAGCAACACCTGGGTAAGCCTGCTTGATCATAACAAAGTCTCTGTCGCAGATTTACCGAGTTCCACACCGAATTTAATCGCGTACCTCTGCTCTATCGAACGCTGCATTTTCGGCTTGCACCACTCACAGAAACACGTTTCGCGAAAATGCCTGTCCTGACTATCCAAGTGCTCGGAGACAACTGACCAGCCGCTCATTCGTTAGCTAGGAACGCCCTCTACAGAATTCAGTCCTATTACTTTCCGGACAAACCCTGTATGTTCGAGCTAGCTGGATCAACGATCTTTTTATTGTGTAATTCCTTCACCTTATGTTTGCTTTTTGAATTGTAGCACACGTCAGGCTGACAAAACAGACGATATATGTAAATCAAAAGCACGAACAATTTGATGCAAATAGATACTGTTGACATAACCTCAAAATAGAGCGCTGACACTGAATACTAGAAAACTATGAAAATCAAGGGGACCGTACAATTTATTGTAGGAACGATTAACGATACGCCACTTAGAGTCAAAATATTCTTCATGACTAAGTTTGAAAGAGGAGAGGAATCAGAAGCATGTAGTATGTTAGGGGCAAAACAAACAGCAACCGGAATGAAAAAGCTGAATGAGACAAACAATTACAAAAAAGATAGAAAATCACAAAACTTGATAATTGAAAAGATATACTAAGTGACATATAAATCCGAACACCCAGTTTAAATGGTTTTATTTTAATAAAAGTTGGTGAATGTATTTATCTTACTGTAAATAACAAGTGAAAAAATTTTCAGCCTTATCAGTTGGACATTCCGGTTTTTATACTGCTTTTTTTTAATTCACTAACGCTCTAAAAATGAATATTTCAGCCGCAGTAAAGAATCAACGTTGGCGGATTTTGGTTCTTGACATCCTTTACGATCGGTTACGATGCCTAGAGTACGGAGACCTGTACGATTTCGTCAACTTAGTGAGTTTGATAGGGGCCGTATAGTGGGACTTCGGGAAGCTGGACTTTCTTTTCGGGCAATTGCAGTTAGAGTGCAAAGAAGTGTAGACACTGTGGTTAGGTGTTGTCAGGCATGGCTTCCAGAATGCCGTACGCAAAGAGCAAGGGGCACTGGACGCCGCCGTAGAACAACAGACCGTGAAGATCGCCGCCTAAGATTATTGGCCTTAAGGTACCGTTTCTCCACTACCAGGTCCATTGCAAATGAATGGTTTGCAGAACACGGAAGACCTATTGGCATGCGAAGTGTTTACCGACGAATGAGAAGTTTTGGCTTGTTTTCATACCGGCCACACTGGGTCCTCCCTTTAACTCGAGAACACCGACGTAATCGCCTTGAGTGGTGCAGACAACGGTCACTCTGGGATCAGGAATGGAACAGTATTGTCTTTAGTGACGAGTCTCGATTTTGTTTAGGCATGCACGATGGTCGTGCCAGGGTTAGAAGGCGACGTGGTGAAAGGAGGAATCCACAGTTTTTTGTTGAAAGACATGTTCATCACACTGCTGGAGTTATGGTTTGGGGTGCTATAGCTTATGGTTCCAGGTCACCTTTAATCTTCATCAGAGGTAACATGAACGCGCGTTATATCCACGAAGTTCTAGAACCCCATCTTTTACCCTATCTTGACACCCTGGCAGATCCAACTTTCCAACAAGATAATGCCCGACCACATGTTGCAAGACTCACAATAGACTTGTTTCAACATAATGATGTCACATTGTTACCTTGGCCACCAAGATCTCCCGACTTATCCCCAATTGAGCACGTGTGGGATATGATGGGTAGGAGATTGCTCCTCAGACTCTAGAAGCACTTCGGGAGGAGTTGGTGGTTGCCTGGAATGAGATACCACAGGAGGACATTGACCACCTGATCAGAAGCATGCCTAGGCGCGTTGGAGAATGCGTAGCACATCAGGCTGCATCCACACATTATTAAAGGTGAAAGGGCTTTAAAGCAATGCAATCATTTTGAAATTTTTATCATTTACTTATTATGCTTCATTAAGTACTTATACAAAATTTTATTAAAATAAAACCATTTAAACTGGGTGTTCGGATTTATATGTCGCTTAGTATAGTTAAAAGGCGATACAGACAAATATGGACAAAAGTGTTGAAGATAAGCAAAAAAAGACGAGTAAGGAAGAATAGGAACGAAAAACGGATAAAACTAGGCAAACAAATAGAACAACATTCGACCAATATACTTCTTATACCTCTTCTCTTTCAAACCTCCTCATAGCGAATATCTTGGCTCTAAGACTTTGATGCCCGTCAAACTTGTCTAAGTGGAATGATGTATCATTCTCTTGTCAGCAGTCAGAAGACAGAGCAAGACTGTACTTTTCTTCAACAGTCACGGTAGCGGATATATCTAAAAGTGGTTTCAAAAAAATCTCCACAAGTTAACGAAACATCTACTTTGAACCATAATTCAGCACCTACTACTCGTATATAAATTATAACAGCCCTGTATGATTACTCAACAACGAAGAAGCCGCATTGATGTTTTAACTGACTGAAAAGAGGCAACAATCAGTCCAGAGTTGAGGAATACAAACGCAAATTCCCAATAAAATCGGCAATATCGAAACGGCAAGGAACACGTTAAAAAGTCTAGAAACTATTTTAAAGTTGGAATCCCGAATATAGGAAAAGTTTCCTGCCCTTCTGTACAGGAGATAAGCAATTCAAATATATTTTCCTGCATTTTCCAATTTAACTTCTCAGTGTGCAAAATGTCTCAAAATAACTTGATCATATAGACCCTAAACGTTTCTACAGTTATAGTTCAAGATCCCAGGGCAGCCCGACATTACTTATTTTCTAAAACATACTAAGTGACATATAAATGCCCGACCACATGTTGCAAGAGTCACAATAGACTTCTTTCAACATAATGATATCACATTGTTACCATGGCCACCAAGATCTCCCGACTTATCCCCAATTGAGCACGTGTGGGATATGATGGGTAGGAGATTGCTCAATTTGCAACGTCCTCCTCAGACTCTAGAAGAACTTCGAGAGGAGTTGGTGGTTGCCTGGAATGAGATACCACAGGAGGACATTGACCACCTGATCAGAAGCATGCCTAGGCGCGTTGGAGAATGCGTAGCACATCAGGGTGCATCCACACATTATTAAAGGTCAAAGGGCTTTAAAGCAGTGCAATCATTTTGAAATTTTTATCATTTACTTATTATGCTTCATTAAGTAATTATACAAAATTTTATTAAAATAAAACCATTTAAACTGGGTGTTCGGATTTATATGTCACTTAGTATAGTTTGACGCACCACTCAGATAACTTAAATGAATCGGTGTGGAGAATTTACGATAACAAAAATGTAAACACAACAGGCTTTTTTTTACAAACCGGCTAGACTATGAAATGTGCTAGACGAAAATTTTGCAGCTGGTAAATTTTTTGTTTCTCCTATGAGCTCTTAAGGTAAAATTAGCGGTAGTGCTCAAACGGCATATTTACGAACAGGGGTTTATAAGACAAAATTGCATATTTTTATGCCCTCTACAACCCCTATCATTTTGTCGCAATAATTATGGAACACCCTGTATATGCAAAACTTAAAAGACACCCCTCGTAAACATTAATAAAGACGTTTATTATTATTATCTTTTTAATGTGTTGCCGAACGGATCGCTGCCTCTGAAACTAAAAGCACAAAACGCGAAGCGCCACAAAAGCTACTCAATCTCTCAGTCGTCACCCAATTACTACTGAATTTCCAGACAATCCACCTCCGGCGCACAATAACGTTGATTCTCATAATTTTCTCTTTGTTACAGGAACATAGTGTATAACCTGAGCTTCCCGGACCTCGTCGAGCAACAAAGGCTCACCTGGTATTCCAATGAATACGATGCCAGGATGTGCGTGGTTAAGGGAAAGGACGAGGTAAGTGCCTCCCGCGTTTATACTCCGCTAATTTGTAATTGCTTCGGGTAAGAGGTCGGTTAAGCTTACGAAGCTTACGAAGTATAGCTAACAGGATGTATACTGAGAGACAAAAAAAGCTAAACACCTACGTATACTTTATCTGAAGTCACTTGAAATAGCATAAAAGCCTTTGGTCGGCGCGTCCTTTGTAATTTCATGACGTATCATAGGCGTGCGGTCATTTATTTAGAACGATAATAATAATGTTTTTATATCACAATAAATGGATTTTACTATCTTCTTATTTTTTTGATTTGGGATAAAAAATACTTATATTGGGAGTTTAATTTATGTTGACTGAAAGTTAAGAAATGGAAAAATAAAAAGGTATATAAAGACTTACATTATAGGTATTTATATATCATCCTCGCCTTCGGAGCTGTCGCTAGAGTCATCTTGTAGAGGAATTACAACGGGATTTACAGGAGGCAAAACACAATATTCATTTTCTTTTTCAATAATATGCCTAGAACACTGCTTCCATAGGTCTGTGGCAGCAATATGAGATACTGCATCTCTTATTGTGGCCAATAGTGATTCACTTAATTGAGGGGTCTGATTATGTTTTCTTACTTTTTTTTTAAGCAGCCCAGACCAACTCAATCGGGTTAAAAATGCAGTAATAGGGAGAGGTAGACGTAATACTTCATGGCCATTTTGCTGAAGCAGATTGTCAACAACATACTCTTTTTCAAATTTTTGTCTTTTAATAAGATCCAATAATATGGCTTTGGTTGATTTTTGTGGTATTTCCATTCCCTTATCCTTCATAAAATCAATAATGTCTTGTTTTTTTGTGCCTGTATTCGGAATTTTGTTTTTCTGTCGGGAATGGTATGGCGCATTGTCCATAATAATCACTGAATTTGGGGAAATGTTTGGTATTAACTGCTGCTCTATCCACTTTTCAAATAAGTCGGAGGTCATGTCCTCATGATAGTCGGCACATGATTCTTTGATATTTTTGGCAGATAACAGCAAGGCATTAGGTATAAATCCATAATCACCATTCTTTTATCTAATTTTTTGTAAAACTGTGGGGTTTTCAATACAGTGCAGTGAGTCTAAGCATTTGTAATTATAAAAATCTTCAGGATAATCTTTTAATTTATCCCGTATCATTTCCAACGTGGGCACCAAATTTTCTTTATAAAATCCGTATATTATACGACGAATATCTTCCTGAAAACCCACGTCTATTCTTTTTAATTTTTGCCCTATGCGCTTTTTGTGGAAGGTATGGTTGACTACATCTCCCCTTTTTATAACCCGATAAATGGTAGACCGACTGATTTTTGTCAGGATACAAATTCTGTTTAAAATTTGATTTTGCGAGGAATCTGGATTTTCGTTTTTCAGACAATCACACATATTTAGGATTACTCTTTGGGTCTGTTCCTCTAAATCTTTATGAAAGAATTCTGCCTGCACAGGTTCATCAACCATCTCCTCGTGGCTTGGAGCATTTTCCCAATGTCTCCAAAGAGCCATATTTAGGACACACAAGAACAATCAGCACAACAATTAAATCAACAAGTAAACTGAGTATTCAAAAGTCAAAAACACACAAACTAATAAAATCTATGAAAAAACACGGACAGACTAAAGAAAACACGTTTATTCACCGCTACACGGCACTGGCGTGCTTTACTCCACGTGGACCGGTGAAACTGCCTCTGATCTTATACGGGGGATATTTGCTGCGAAATTTGGCGATTTTTGCAGCAACAGAGCGTGTTAAATACAGATATATAAAACGCACCCGGTATTTCACAGTGTTTCAAGTGACTTCAGATAAAGTATATGTTTATCCGATTTTTATAATTTTTAGCATATACAGAGTGTTTCAGTTTATTGTTGCATAACTTTAAGATCTGATAGAACTTTTAAAATTAATGCATAAAGCCTATATAAACATGGGTCGAAAAATGCGTGGCTTCCGAAATACAGGGTGTTTAAATTTACTTTCTAAAAAAGTTTTTTTTAAATATTTCGGACAATATTTGATGTATAACAGTGAAAACTGGTATACAAGGGTTTTTCGGTAGGACAAAACGAACCATGGGCATAGTTTTACTGTAGCCGCTAGAGGGCGCTCTCTACTGTACCTGTAGTGTATTAAAATGACCGAAAATTTTTTCTTAGTGCAATTTTTTGCTTTTTGAATAAAAAAACTGATTCTTCGCACTTTTCAACATAAAAAGCTCTGTTTTGAATTTTCGTTATAGTTAGCCGTTTTTGAGATATTTCGATTTTTAAGGTTCGAGGCATTTTTAATCATTTATGATAAAATAACGTTAAAAAGTCAGTATCTCGATAATTTTTAGAAGTAGGCTGTGCCTGCAAATATTTTTGAAATTGAAAGCAGAATAAGGTTAAACGTCAATTAGTTGACAGTTAGTTTTGTTGTCTGTTGAAACCTGAAACGTTTTTTTGCAATTGTGAATGCACGAAATTTAGTTTCTTTTACCTGTTTTTTTTGTAAGTTTTATAAAAATGCCATTTTTTTTCTCCAATGAAGAGTTAGCGGATATTCATTTTGTGTATGGCTTTGTAAATGGAAACGCAGCAGAAGCAGCCAGAGAATACGCACGAAGATTTTCAAACGGACGACATCCAACTCGCTCAGTAGAGAAGAATCACATTTTGTCAGTGGATTCTTGATAGAACTGATAATAATAGGGAGTTTTTAAATAACGCTTTATGGACCGATGAGTCATGCTTCACTAGACGTGGAGTGGTAAATTTTCATAATCAACATATTTGGTCGCATGAAAATCCGCATGCAGTTCGGGAAAGAAATTTTCAGCATGAATTTAGTGTGAACGTGTGGATTGGTATCTACAGTAATCGACTATTTGGACCCTACCTTTTGCCTGCAAGGTTAAATGCTGCGACCTTCTTGGAATTTTTAAAGGCTGAACATGCAAATATGTGGGATGATGTTATGTTAGATTTGAGAAGATTGGCCTGGTTCCAGCTTGATGGTTGTCCAGCTCATTATTCGAGAATAGTTAGAAACTGGCTGGACGAAAATTATCCAAAAAGATGGATCGGCCGTGGAGGACCAATCGACTGGCATCCACGATCCCCTGACCTAAATCCATTAGATTTCTTTGTGTGGGGATTTCTAAAAGAAAAAATGTACCAGACTCCCGTAACCACAAGAGATATGCTAATAGACAGAATCAGGAATGCATGTGATGAAATAAGGCCTTATTTGAATAATGCTATACCACGTTCGATCATTCGTAGATGTGAATTGTGTATTGAACAATTGGGTTTACATTTCGAGCAACTACTTTAGATGTTGTATGTTTGTCCTAACTATCCAATAGCATTTTAGTTGTAAATAATTAATTTAATTTGTTAAAACTAATATTGGAAAATTAAACAATTTAATATTCGGTTTTTTGTGTTTATTTGGAGTTAGGAATTATTGCTGTGTTTAAAAACACAATCTAAACGATCATCTTAATTACTTGTAATGCCCAAATCGAAAATGTGAAAAAAAATATTATTATCCCATAAATAATTAAAAATGCATCGAACCTTAAAAATCGAAATATCTCAAAAACGAAAACTCACAGGAGAGCTTTTTTATGTTGAAAAGTGCGAAGAATCAGTTTTTATTCAAAAAGCAAAAAATTGCATTAAGAAAATTTTTTCGGTCATTTTAATACACTACAGGTACAGTAGGTTGGTGACCGTAGATCTGCCTCTCATAAACCCATGCTGATTAATAGAGACTGCACCCCTGACCGAGCAGTAAACCGTTTCATAAGCGATGATCTCAAACAACTTGCTGAAATTGCACAGGATTGCTATTTGGCGATACTTGGAAATATCAGAGATATCTCCATTTTTTGTGAATAGGACATATTTTAGAGGTCTTCCAGATATTTGGATATGTCTCTGATTTTAGAATTAGGTTGAATAAGGAAGCCAGCGGTTTCGCTAGTATATGAATGCAATCTTAAACGAAAAAACTTGGAATACCATCACATCCAGACGTCATTTTGTTATTTAATCTTTTCGAAGCCCTAATTACGTTTTCATCACTTATATTTTTTAAAGAAATGATATCGGTTGAATTATTTGTTGGAGGAGATGACCCTAGTAGACGAGACGGGATAAAAACTGTTGAAAAGAAGGTAGCAAAACTGTCCACTATATCCTGAGGCGTATCGCAGACATTGCCGTTAAGCGTCATCCTTGGGGGGATTCTAGATTGCTGTTTTTTGATCTGGGCAAATGACCAGAATTTGCTAGGATCATTGACAATGGCATCCTCAACCGATTGGACGTAAGAGGAGTAGGCAACACTGATCTGGTTCTTAATGAGCTTCCTAAAATTACTGAACTGATCATAAGAAAACTTAGTACCGTCACGTTTCCAGTTCCTTCTTGCTATGTCCTTCCCCTTGATATTAAGTATAATTTCACGTGTGAACCATGGGGGATACGAAAACATTTTATTTTTACATTTAGGGACATGGACCTCAAAGATGTTATTGATAACTGAATACAAGGCGGTACAAGCGACATCAACATTAAGGATTAGGATGATCCATAAAACAAAAAAAACTGTATCAGGAGATACCCTGTATAATCTCCAGAAAGAGTACAATTTTTTCTGCACAATTTATCCGGTGTCATTAGAGCCGGCGCCATAGCTTTAACGGCGTCGCCACGATACAACGCGAGACGCTTTGGTGGTAATTTGCATTTTTTGCCGCATCTTTCGTCCGCGGATCCGCGCCGGGCGTGAATTGCGGCGGACGGAAAGAAATAAGCATCGCCAGATGTGCAGATCACGACAACGACTGCCTCGCTAACGAGCGTTGAGCCCTTTTTAATAGCGCTAGCCGGATTGATCCCTGCTGAAAATTCTCCACCTAGGATATTATATTCATTTTATTTAACTTAACTTGCGCGCGGATCGAGACGGATGACAA